CATGATTTCCAAAAATGAAAAAAAAAATTCCTCTATCAAAAGCTCTAGTTTAATCTTTTAAAAGAATATTCTCCTTTGAATTTCACCAAATACAGGGGTCTCGTAACCAAATATTAGTACTCTCTGAAAAGTGTTTTGTCGAAACACGTACATGCCTGCAGTGGTGGAAATATGGCGGAGGGCAAGCCGCAAGGGTTCCATTTCCAGGCTGGAATGGGACCTGAATTGACCAACTTATACAGAAACTCCTAGCCACGAAGCCAAATATTTGTGGGCTCAGTAGTCCCACTTGCATGATACACAAGCAATAATTGAATAAGTGTACGGTCATGCAGATTGCAGGGGATTAAATGAACAAAACTTGCATCTAACAGGTTGGAATGTCTTAACATAAGAAAAGTAAATCCCCCAGCTTCCTATTAAATGGTATTTGAAATTCTCATATGAACATTATTTATAAGAAAATCAAAACATTTTATTATGCCTAAAAATATTAGTAAAATTAAGTTGAATGGAAAATAATATCTAAGCTTATGCATAGCTTTTTCTCTTCAAAATACAAAAAGTTTTTCCTTTTTCCATTAAAAGTTAAGCCATGCATGCAAAAGTTTAAAATAAGAGTTAAACTTAAAAATATTTGTTTTGGACCAATATTATGAGTACAAATTTTCCAGTCCCAACCCATTAAGGTCGAGGTTCAAGACACCCTGTCACGACTCCAACCAACCAACCAATGACACGATTGCTCAATAATCACTCAAGTATTGCGTCGTATCTAAGGGCTACAATAAGTATAAGGTACAGTGACCTTACTTTCACATATTCAAAAATTATATACTAAATTGCCACGCATTGAAAATATTTTTCTAAATTGTCACGTGTTTAAACTCATTACAACATGAAGCGAGTTTTGTGTGGCCATGTGTCACATTTTTTAAGGTCACCTAACTTACGGCAGACCATAGTAAATTTGATAGTCAAATTGTCAGTATGCTCTGAGTTAAAGTGGGACACATGACAATCACCCCAAAACTCGTTATGCCCTGCATGCTACAGCAATTACGGTGAGCAAAAATGAGACACATGGCAATTAACCAAAAACTCGCTATTTTGTGCAATGAGTATGGTCTGACATGTCACAAACATACTTGCTACCCCTGACAGCAAGCATGGGCGTGTTAGCCACATGTAATATAATCGCCAGTATCTCCAGCAAGATTAGTCATATAAAAATCCTCCCCCATTTCCCACATTTCATGCATCTGTATGCTTGCTTTATAAAATTCCTCTAATTTCTCCTAGGGGGCGTTTGGTTGAGGAGAAATTTTATGAATGATAGGGAAATGATATGTATAGACAAATGGTTGGAGGATTATGTTAGGTAGAAAAATGTAAAAAAATTGTTTGGATGGAAAAATTAGGTAACTTTTATAAAGTATATGTTTGGGTGTAGACAAAATATAGATGGGAAAAAAAGTTACAATTACGAAAATAACCCCAATTTTTTTAATCAAGCCACTTCTTCCTTATATTATTATTTTTTTATATTTTTATTCCACAAATCCAGCCAAAACTTTCCTCCCACCGTGTCAGACCGCCACCCACCGACAAACTCCACCGCCCACAACCACCATCTTTCCTCATCATCTCCAACCGAACCAGCCTTCCAAGAACAAACAAACCCAGCCCCAAATCACAACCGCCCCACTCCCCATCATCACTCCACCGCTGGAAACCCCAACCTCCTTCCTCCATCTCTTAACCGGTTAACCGACACCCAAACCGGACAGCACCATAGCTGCCTGACCACCACATCAACAACCGACCACACCCACAGCCCTTATACTCGTTCTCCTCTTCCTCACCATCACAAACCATAGCCACACAGCCACACCATCAACCAACCGCCGTCCTCAGCCCACCACCGATCAAGTTCACCCCTCCACAACCACACACCGTGGAAAACCCCCTCTCACCACACCTCTCCTACACCACTGCCCAGCCATCTTTTTCCCCACACTCAGCCACATACATCGATCTTGACAGCGTAAGGCTGGGGTACGATGGTCATCTGGTTATTACACTATTACCATTTAGGTAGATTCTACACAATACCACATGTAAAGAGGGAAAATGATAGCCGGCTATTTCCATCCAAAAGCGGTGCAAACATGGTTTGCTGGCATAATGCCTTATGTAGGCAAATTGAGAAACGTTCCAACCAAACATGGTTATCTTACATACCCACTTCTAATTTGTCTATCTATCTGAACAAAATCCCCAAACCAAACATCTCCCTAAGGTTTCGAGTCCTAAAATAAATAATATTAAAATAAAATATTTAAAAAATAAATAATTAAATAAATGTTAAAATACTAATTATAATTATAATTTTAAATATAAAATATTATATCAACTATCCTAGAGTTTAATGTCTATACAAATTAATATAACAAATTAACACATGTAATCTATTTTAGGTTTCATATACTAACCTCTATTAATGATGTATAAATAAAAAAAAAATTAAAAGAACTAACCATGTGAGAGATGGTTTTAAAAAACTTGAAATGGAGAGAAATGAATTTTGAGAGAGAGAGAGAGAAAAGTGGAAGTAGAGAGGGAGGGATGTCGGGGGTATTAAGTAGTCTTGCGCAACAATTATTTTTTATTTTTTATTTTTTATTTTTACCGTTGGTACCATACGTGTTATGTCCCACTGCAAGTATGTGTTTGTCTGATATATATTCAACGACTATTTCTTTTTGTACCGTTTGGACATTTCTCGCCATGACTCGTAATGATTTTGTGGTTGATTGCCACGTGTCCCTTTTTCTTAGAGCAGGTTCATAATTTTGACCATCTAACCTGCTATGATTTGGAGCGAGTTAGGTAGTCTGAAAAAATGTGACATGTGGCCACACCAAACTCATTATGTGTTGTAGCAAAATTTGAACGCGTGACACACTGAAAAAATATTTTCAAACGCATGGCATTTAGATAATAATTTTTGAGCAGTAAGGGATCACTTTCCCCAAGTATAGATCATCAGCTGCCACCTTAAAAGACCTTTGCCATAAAGATTCTAATATCCAATTGTAAAGGGGTGGCCGCACAATCTTCCAAGTAATTCTGTCATACGCTATAAATACAAACAAACCACATTCCATAGAAAACCCAAGGAGAAGCAACATCAACGACCTCAAAGGAGTTTCACCAACAATACGTAGATGAGCCTAGAAATTCTAACAAATGATGAATACTTTTCGTCCAATCATGTAGTCCGAAATTGTAGATAGGAAAAGGAAAAGAGAATTCCATTTGCAAACTAAATACCCCCACATTCTTAGGAGTTCTAGGATAGATCAACCTCAATGTAAATATATCCACAAGTCTCCGAAAATAAATTCGAAGACAGTTCAATAATCAAATATCAATTGGATTGTGGGAATCTTATGAATCGTCTCATTTGTGCCTCTTTGGAAGCCTCATTGCTCAATGGAGTCATTATTCCCTAATGCAACAAGATCACCTGACTTACGAATGTTCAAATTATTACTACCAGATTATTATTATTATTTATACGAAAACATACAAATAAGTGCAATTTTTTAACTTCGCACTTCTAACATTCAGAGTGAACATATTTGAAAAACGAGAAAAGTAATTACAGAATGGCATTAACATCCAATAATTAGTAAAAAAATTCAGGTCAACGATAACGAAATTCTTTGTCTTTACCTGGGACAGTCGTCTCTACCCGTCCCCGTGGTGTATTGGGTAATAATTATGAGGGTGGGTAACTTTAGTCCGAAGTCCAAAGGGTCTCGTTATTCTCAACACCTTCTTTTTGGTTTCGTGCTTGTTCCCTTACCTACAAATTTTATTTTATTTTAATAAATTACGGGTATCTTTCACTATAAATAATTTTGTTCAGGACAAATCTAAAATTAAAATTTTAAATTTCTCTCTAAATAATAATATTAAACAAAATTAAATACATACTCTTACTCTCGTCAATTTCATCAATTTCACTCATGCACCAATTGACTATCATCGTTTTGTCCTTACCTATGATTCTAATGCCTATATTTATAGCCCATAGACCATTGTCCTCCTACTTCTGTTCCTATTCCTACTACTGCTACGTGATGTGATCTATGTGACCCTCCAACACCGTTTCCCCTTTCCCTTCCCATTCGTCAAATCATATCTTTCTTTGACCCCACCACCTCCCAACTCCACTCACATCTTTTCCCTCCAAAATTCCTCTTTTCGTATCCATGACGTGGCACTAACTCGTCATTCCCACGCCACCCTCTTAAAAGCTCATTTGCCACGACATGCACGTTTTCCCCCCCCAACACCATTTTACAATAATATCCCTCAACTACGAAAACAGTTTTTTCAACCTCCAACTATGGGCCCACTTGTCGGATACGTGGCTCAGCCCCGCTGGCCCATTCACAATCACCCGGCCCAATCGCACACCCATTTCATTTCCTAAATAACTACCATGTCCTTTCGAGCCCAATGTCTTCAGAATTACACCAAATACAACACAAGCATTTTGGGCAACGTAAACTTTAAGTCTTCTTCAGTTTTTCTGTTCCGTGCTCGTGCTCGTGCTCGTGCTGTGCTTCCAAGAGCAGGGAATGATTGAAACACCGTTGCAGTGTTGAACCGAACACAACTCACTAGAACCGCAATCATTACGAAAATATATAACAAGGTTAAAATGATGCTATAATAATAAATTAAATATTGTAGTAAACAGTTGGTAAAATAAAGTTTCCTTTAGACGAACCAAGACTCTACCAAATCTTGACCTCGGTCTTGTCATCATGATATAAATATATAGGATGATAAATAATATAAAATAAAAAAACCAAAAAGTTAAGTAGCCTCTTTCCCTCTGACAAAAGATACCAAAAAAAAAAAGGAGAAACATATATTATATTTATATGAATATGAATATGGATGAAAACTTCTGGTCTTATCTACCGCTGCTGTACATCCGGAGCAGAGGATCGCAGCCGCTTGCTGTTTGGCGGCTCAGCTTGGCCTACTCTTGAGCCATTTTCGTTTCTCTCGGAACGAGTGTCGCAGCTCCCACAGGTGGCGGCGTCGAGCACGCCGACGGGGCTTGATGGCGGCGCCGGCTCGGCTCTCCTACCTTTAGGACGAGATGCGGGACACGTGTCCACCACGTACTCCTCCATTAGTTGGTGACAGCATCTCACCATTTCCTGTCCCCGAAGAACAAAGATTCATTGCCAATATAATAATAAACAAACAAACCCAACAAAATAAAAAAAAAAAAAATGTAGAACTTGCAATCGCCAAAGACTGGAGCACACAATAATCAATGCTTCTCAAATCTTCAAATTATTCGAAAAAATAATAATAACTTCGTCTTTTTTTCATTCAAAATGAACCAACCAAGCCCATTAAAATCAAATTTTATATTCTGAAGCACAAAAGAATAAAATATGGAGTGTACTTTGTTTACTCTGTCGTGAAAAGACAGTGGCAATTGGCCGTTGGCTTCATGGGTGTGGCCAGCTGAGCAGAGCACGGCGGCGGCTGCCACGGTGGACGGCGCAAACCCCAAGAAGTCAATCACTGATAGAAATGCCATAATCAAAACGACATCAAATAAATGCGTTCCAAGAAAAAGAAAAAGAAAAAACTGAAAGTTGTGTCGTTTAGGAGTACTAGGAGGTTACCTCGAGTGGTGCTGAGAATGAGGTCTGAGGCTGTGGAAATGAACCAGTTCATGGATTCAGAATCAGAAGAAGAAGAAGAAGAAGAAGGGAGCTTGGAGATGAAATAATCAAGGTAATCGAAGGGGGTGACAGAACGCAGTCTCCATTTGAGATTGGCCATGACTCGAAGCTCCATTCTCTGAACCGTCTTTGGTTCGAAAACGAACCGGGGTTGGAACAATTGCAGGTCGAGCAATAGCGGCACTTGAGGCTCCTCCATTTTCGCCGCTAGAGACAAACAAGCCACTGAAAGCAGCTGAAACGCCCACCCACTTGGTCGCTGCCATAAATTCAAATAATAAATCAAAAAGGGTACCATACTAACGCCAAATAATCAACATTAATTGTGTCTGACTTTTTTCCCTTCGAAGTGTCATATTTTCCCGGAAAATAAGAAAAAGAAAAGAAAAGACAAGAAATAAACGGGGGTACCGGAAGAGAAGAGCATGACAGGAAACGGTCCAAGTAGTTAACGGAGAGAAACGCCGTTACTGGCCGGAACTGATAGAATGCGTGCACCTGCATTGCCCCAATAGATCAAACCCATAGTCAAAGATTGATTCATGCATCCAACCTGTGCGTGATAAAGCGCGTACCTTTAAGATCCAGTTGATGGCGTCTAAGCGTGCAGTGATGTCTATGAATCGGTCGCGGCAGCGCCGGAGATAATCTTTTTCCGGTATGTGGTGGGTCTCTGCGTGCATGAGTCCGGCGATCTCCGCTTCATCGAACGCCGGAGGAAGTGATGCCGGAAGAGGTGGCGACAGGTTGTCGGTGATCACATCGCCTACGTCTTCGCCGCACAACAAGCTACTAGCGGCGGAATGGTCCGGCGACAGAGACATTGCTGCGGCGGCGTCGTAGGGGGAGGGTGTTGGTTGAGGAGGGGATAACGGCGGTCACGGCATCTGTAACGGGAGGGTAACGGAGGATTGTGAGTGTAGTGGTGAGAGTGTGGTGTTGGGTCATGGTTGGCTCTTAGGGATTTGTGTTTGACATCTTAAAGTGCTCTCTTTGTTGGTCCGTGTCTGTGTTTCTCTCTCTTTCTCTTTGTTTCTGTCTCTCTGAAGTTTTCTTTTTTGTCTGTTTTTGTTTTGGTTGCCCTCTATTTTCTTTTTTGGTTTGTGCGTGTGAATTTGCAGAGAGAGTGAGAGAGTGAGAAACAGTCTCACTTATTTGTTTTGTGGATTTTCTATTGCATAAACTAGGAGTTGTCAAGCATAGACATTAGAAGAGACAGAGGAGAGAGAGTAATCAGCAGTGGGTGATTGGAGGGGTGTGAATGGCTTAATGGCAAGTGACATTTGAAGCATGATTTTCCTGTCGCTACATACTGGTTTATCGCCACAAATCATTTGCTTTTTCAGAACTGTATTTACTCTATTTGTTCATTCATCTTTTCACTTCTTGTATCTAAGTTAAAACAAATTATGACTTCTTCTAAATGATATATGTTAATTTTAAGATTTTCCTGGTGTCAGCTAAATCTAAATAACTTTTTTGTATTACAGTAGTTATGATGAAGAATAAATAACTAGTTTTAGTTTGGTATAAATAATTAAAATTAAATAATTATTCATTTCCTCTTTACAATAAAAAACTTGCTTACCAAAAAAAAAAAAAAAAACTTCTCACATGTCATTATGAAATTAATCCTTTGGACATTATAACAACAATTGCTTTTAATTCAAGATTTAACAAATAATTCAATAAAAATAATAAACATAACACTAATTTTATGGCTGTTTTGAGTTCAAATAAGAAGGATTAACCATAGTAGACCCTCACAAGGTGATGCAAACAACTTAAGATTTAGAATATCTTTTGAAATTTTAAGAATACTAGTTCATTACTCGTACGATGCACGGAGTAAAAAGATCAAAAAATTTATTGGCGATCGTCGTTAATTAATTTCTAAAAGAAATAATGTATCACTATTTCTCTCTCCCTCCCTCTATATATATATATATATATATATATATATATATATTAGTGTATTACTCGTGCGATATACAGGAAAAAAGAAATCAATTTGTTTGTGTTGTAAATATTAGGTCTTTTATTATTATTAGTATTTGTTGTATTGGGCCAAGCTCATTAGGTCAAGAATTAGGTTTTTTAGTCTCTATAAATAGAGACATCTTTGTATCAGATTAATACACAATTCAATAATATTTCAAATACCATTTTCTTTCAAGTTGGTATCAGAGCTCTCGATCCTGAGGGCTCTGCTTCCGCGCCTATTGTCTTTAGAACAAGAACCTTTTATTCTTTTTGTCTCTCGCTGCCATCAGCCGCCACCGGATTTTTTCCGGGGACCTCTTGGACCGAGAAGATCTCTGTTATACTGGATCTCTGTTATACTGGATCTCTGTTACTGTTCATCGTCTTCATTATTCTTCATCACAAGACAGCATCTGTTCATCACGATTGGACCCTTTCCCGGTGGTTTTTCAACTCCGAACAGACCCAGAAAGAACCGCGCTCATCGGACGACGTTGCTCGAGAAATTTCAGACCGGACGGCAACCGCACGCGCCCACACGCGCCGCCCCTTCCACCGCGAGTAAAGCCCACGCGCAGCCAATCTCACCGGCGCGTGGCGGCGCATGAGACCATTTTTCCGGATCGGACCACCGCGATCTTGATCGTCCCTTCATCTTCTTTCTGGATCTGTGCTCCTCTCTTTGATCAGACATCGTTTGATATTTATTTGTGATTTTTTGGCTACTTGGAGCTTTTCTTTAACCATTTTCTGTGCAGTATGGCCTCTTCTCAAAAGAGTTCTTTTTCTAAATTTTATGATGGTACCTCTTCTAGACCTAAGAGAGATGATCGATGGTGTTCTTATTGTAAAAGAACAGGTCATATCAAGGATTTATGCTTTCGCCTTTATGGAAAGCAAATTGTCGTAGAAAATATGGCAAGGATGCGTGGTCAAGCGCATTTTACTTCTTTTGAAATAACCCCTGCACCTAATGACACCCAATCTGCATTTCATCCAGATGAGTTGGAACGACTCCGAACCATTCTTGATTATCTGAGTAAGCCATCTGATACTAGTGCTTTGGCTATGACTGGTATGAGCTCCAAAACTCATTCTTTCATTTCTTCATGTAATGGTTTTAAACATTCTTGGGTTGTTGATTCTGGTGCTACTGATCATATGGCTTGTTGTGCTGACTCATTTATTTCTTATCGTCCTACCAGTGGAACTCATACAATATCCATAGCTGATGGCTCACATACATCAGTTGCGGGTTCTGGTGACATAAACTTACAGCAGTCCTTACATCTTAAGGATGTTCTTCATGTTCCTAAACTCTCCACGAATCTTCTTTTTATTCACAAAATTACAAAAGATTTGAATTGTACTGTAACCTTCTTCCCTACCCATTGTGTTTTTCAGGATCTCGCCACGGGGAAGACGATTGGTAGTGCTAAAGAGCAAGGTGGGCTGTACTATCTGGTGTCACAATCTCCCGCAAATAAAGTAACAGATCACACCCTCATGTCTCATGGTCAATCAACTGCTGATTCTTTAATTTGGCTGCATCATAAGCGTTTGGGTCATCCTCCATTTAGTTTACTCAAATCTTTATTTCCGTCATTGTTTTTGTCTAAATCTGTTGAGTCTTTTCATTGTGATGTTTGTGAATTTGCTAAGCATCATCGTGTGTCTTTTCCTTCTAGTATTTCTAAGAGTGTTGAACCTTTTGATCTTATTCATTCTGATGTTTGGGGTCCTTCTAAGGTCCCTTATTCTTCTGAAAATAAATGGTTTGTTTCTTTTATTGATGATTGCACTCGTGTAACTTGGGTTTACTTAATGCGTGAAAAGGCTGAGGTACCAGAACTGTTCTTTCAATTTTATAAAATGATTGAGACTCAATTTTGTAAAAAAATCAAAAGACTAATGATAGATAATGGTACTGAATATGTCAACAACACTTTTTCCCAATTTATACAAAATCAAGGTATGATTCATGAACTTACTTGTGTAGACACCCCTCAACAAAATGGGGTTGCTGAAAAGAAAAATCGTCACCTTCTTGAAGTTGCTCGTGCCTTACTGTTTCAAACACATGTACCCAAATGCTATTTGGGAGATGCCATTCTTACTGCAGCGTTCTTGATCAATCGTCTACCCACTCGGGTTCTCGATCATGTAAGTCTTATTCACTCCATGACTTCTTTTTTCCTTCTGTTCCAACTTTGCAAAGTCTTCCTCCTCGAGTGTTTGGGTGTGTTGTCTTTGTTTATATTCATAAACAACATCGCAGTAAGTTGGATCCTAGGGCTCTTAAATGTGTCTTCCTTGGATATGCTCCTGGTAAGAAGGGCTACAAAGTGCTATCACCTTGGAAGTCGGAAATTTTTTGTTTCTATGGATGTTACATTTAAGGAATCTGAGTCCTTTTTCCAAGGTCCTCATCTTCAGGGGGAGAATAATTCACCAGAAGACTCATCACCTTCCTTCTTTGAATCTTCAGTGTCTACTCCTTCACCTGTGTCAGTGTCTCTTCCTCTTGTTCCCGTTCCTAATGTGTCTATTTCTGATCCTCCTGTGACTGATCCTCCTATGACTGATACATCAAGTACACCAGAGATACGGAAGATTGTAACACCTGAATCGTCTGAACAGCCCATATTGCCTCAACAGCAACCTCAATCGTCTGAACCACCGGTAAATCCTGAATCTCATATTTCTGATCATGATGTTAATACTTCTGATGACTTACTCATTACTACTGCTTCTGATGATTTACCCATTGCTTTAAGAAAAGAAAAAAGATCTTGTTCCAAGAAAACTTGTTCTTCCCGTCCCTCTTGTACTCAATACCCTATCTCCCATTTTGTTTCCTCTGCTAATCTTTCTGTGGAGTACAAAATCTTTGTTTCAACACTAGATTCTACTTCAATCCCAAAATCAGTACATGAAGCTTTGAAAGATGGGAATTAGGCTCAAGTCATGCAAGAGGAGATGAATGCGTTGGAGAAAAATAAAACATGGGAGGTTATTGATAGACCCAACGGAAAGAAAGAAGTAGGGTGCAGATGGGTTATGCCCTGAAATATAATTCTGATGGCACTCTTGAGAGATACAAGGCTCGATTATTCGCCAAAGGTTACACTCAAACCTATGGTATTGATTATGAAGAAACCTTTGCTTCAGTTGTAAAGATGAATACAGTGAGAATCTTATTGTCCCTTGCTGCCCATTACAATTGGGATATAAATCAATTTGATGTGAAAAATGCTTTCCTCAATGGTGAGTTAGAAGAAGAAGTCTACATGGAAATCCCGCCTGGTTTTGATTCTGTGAAGGGGAAAAATAAAGTTTGTCGATTAAAAAGGCCTTGTATGGATTGAAACAGTCACCTCGTGCTTGGTTTGGAAGGTTTACTAAGGTTATGATGAGCTTAGGATATAGACAGAGTCAAGGAGATCACACTCTTTTCTTCAAGCACTCTCAAAAAGGGAAGCTTATTGTGCTCCTTGTATATGTTGATGATATTATTATCACAGGTGATGAATTTTTCGGAGAGACAGATTCTGCAGACACGACTTGCCTCTGAGTTCGAAGTCAAAGACCTTGGGAAACTAAGATATTTCCTAGGGATAGAAGTAGCTCATTCAAGCAAAGGAATTTTTATCAGTCAGAGGAAATATGTTTTGGATCTTCTCAAAGAAGCAGGGAAGCTCGGGTGTAAACCCTCTAATACTCCTATTGAGCAGAATCACAAGATAGGCTTTGAAGAGGAGAGTCCTCCAGTTGATAAAGGACAATATCAACGGCTAGTTGGAAAATTGATATATCTGGCTCATACTAGGCCAGACCTAGCTTATGCTGTTAGTGTTGTCAGTCAGTTTATGCATGATCCAAAGGAGAAACACATGCAGGCAGTAGAGAGAATTCTTCAGTATCTTAAAGCTACTCCTGGTAAAGGATTATGATTCCGACGTGATGGTAATCTCTCTTTAGAAGTCTACACTGATGCTGATTATGTTGGATCCATGACTGACCGTCGTTCTACCACTGGTTATTGCATGTTTCTTTGCGGTAACTTGGTGACATGGAGAAGTAAGAAACAAGATGTGGTTGCCAGATCAAGTGCAGAAGCTGAATTTCGAGTTATGGCTCAAGGCATTTGTGAGTTACTGTGGCTGAAAATTGTACTTGATGATCTCAAAATAAAATGTGAGGGACCTATGAAGCTGCTATGTGATAATAAGTCCGCTATTTATATAGCTCATAATCCAGTTCAACATGATCGGACTAAACATATTGAGGTCGACCACCATTTCATCAAAGAGAAACTTAATAGCGGGTTGATTACCACTCCATACATTCTCACTGGGCGTCAATTAGCTGATCTATTGACAAAGAGACTTCCTTCAGACAGATTTCAAGAACTTACTAGCAAGCTGGGAATGATAAATATCTATTCCTCAGCTTGAGGGGGAGTGTTGTAAATATTAGGTCTTTTATTATTATTAGTATTTGTTGTATTGGGCCAAGCCCATTAGGTCAAGAATTAAGTTTTTTAGTCTCTATAAATAGAGACCTCTTTGTATCAGATTAATACACAATTCAATAATATTTCAAATACCCTTTTCTTTCAAGTGTTTGTCTCATAAAAATTAACGTAAATAGTAAAAGTATATCGTTGCATTTTATAAAATTAAGATAATGAATAGTCTTTTGAATTATCACATTTAACTTCAACTATGCAGTGTTTACTGAAATATTAAATGTACTAACTCAAATATTTGTTAACTCTACATTACAAAAGTTGGAATTATGTACCTTATAGTGTTGGTTAGACAGTAACAGCCCTCCGGATCGAGTCCATTTTGTCATATCTAACTGTCAACATTTTATATCAACATGATTTGTTAGACAGTAAATATAATATAAAAAAAGTGTGGGCGAGTGAACCCGCCCGTTTGGAAGGTGGGGTGGGCCGGTCCTCTGGGCCGAATCCTTTTTGTCACCTTTAACTGTCAGTATTTTATATCAACATATAATAAACGAAGAGTTGTCTCTAAATTAACTTTTTCTGAAGTGTATGTATTTGTGACATATATATTAGATGAAGAGTTGGCAAATATTTGAGTTATTACGTTTAATATTCTAACAAACACTTAACCACATAAAGACGGATTTGTTAGACAGTAAATATAAGAAGGAGAAAAATGTGTTTTTGCTACCTTTAAATGTCACCATTTTATGTCTTCATGTGTTTTTATATTTAAAAAATAATTCAATAAAAATAATAAACATAAAACTATAATTTTATGGCTGCTTTGAGTTCAAATAAGAAGGATTAACCATAGTAGACCCTCACAAGTAAAGGTATTAACGAGTCGAGTCAAGCCGAACTTTAGTCTTAAAAGGCTAAGCCTGTGTTTAAATGTGTCAGCCTGACCAAGCCTGTTACCTGTTATAAATATAATTATTGGCTTGTGGCCTGACTTATTTACAAAAAATAAAAGCCTAGTTTAGCCTGTTTAAAAAAATAAGAGAACAAAAATTTATCCAAACAGAATAAACAATCAATAACACTAGTAATTTCATAAATATTCATAAATTCAATGTATATTCAAACAGCATAATATAGAACAAAATCATTCAAAAACTATGTTTAACCAATAAAATGGAGTAAAATGGATTCAGGAGAAAGAGAAAGCTATTACAAGTAGTATAAAAAATAAAAAATAATATATTAGGCCAGCCTGAAATGCTCTAAGGCCGAGCTTTTGATTTTAGAGTCTGAACCTGTGATCGACCCGATTGGGATACCGGGTCAGTGAGTCATTGGTTCAACCAGTGGGTCACTGGTTCAACCGCATGAACCGAATATGTATATAAATTTATATTTTATACTTAATTTATATAATAAATATTTTAAATGGTGCAAGTAAACCAAGAACAAAATGTAGCTTAGTGATAAATACTACAATGTATATCTTCACAACAAGTGTTCAATTCCCACTAGATGCAATTTTTAAATAATTCTATTAAATGATATGATATATGTATATATTAAATGGTGCATATTAACCAACAAACAAACTCAGTCTAGTGGTAAGTTGTGTTGGGCATTTTCATGAGACTCGAATTTGAATTAGCTGCTTCTTTGGAATTATTTTTCCAAAACCGGTCCACCGGTTGAAACGCGGTTCACGACTGGTTCTCTGGGTCAATACCGGTTCAATAACATATCCGGTCCGTTGCAAGAATTAGACCGGTTGATGGGCCGATTTCTGGGCCAACTTCACATTGTGGGCTTTTGGCTATGTCTTTGCTCTTTCAGCTGATCCGACCGGAGCCCGTTTAGATTGAATTTATTTTAATAAGCATTTTTTAAAACATCTCTCGTATCATAGATACAACAAGTGGTGGAGCCCATCACTTGTTAAAAAAAATAATGTCTCACACCATAAGAAAAATATCTCTTATTATTATATGAGAAAATGATTTCCCTTTAAAATATGTTTTGGATGCAATCTTAAAATCCAAAAAAAGGTTATCAAAGAAAAATTTTACTTATCACTTATTTTAGATGTCAATAATCTTCATCTTCTGAGATAAATAAAAGGACAAGTTATTTTAGTATAAATGGCTGTGCGTGCATAATACTTATTTTTCGTCATTAATATTTGACGGTTGAAACATTTTGCTTGAAGTGAAATCCGTTGTAAAATTCAATTTGATAGTTAAATGTTAATATGGAACCCACAAGAATATGAATTTCTAGTATATCTGTATGATTCGAGTACAATTCATTCTATTTTGATATCAGCGTCAGTTCAAGAGACGTTCTACATAAAATTCTCGTCAAAGGTTGTTTCTCTCAATTAGATTCGATATTTACTAATAATTAGTATAAATTATTCAATGCCTTTTTTTTAATATCAAAATTTTCTTCATTTGATTCTTGACTTCATTGAGTTTAATTTTGATGCTCTATTAACATAAAATCATTTCATACTATTATTTAATTTTGTGTTAATATTTTATTTATTAAATTTAACTATGTTAATAATTATGTGGTGCTACATCATTAAGTGTATGTTTGAAAGGTTTTTTTACCTTCTCTTCTCCTTATAAGAAGAAGTTAAGCCAAATAAATTTTTACAAAAACTCTTATAATAAAAAGAGCTTTTTTTTTTTTTTGGTAAACATAAAAAGAGCTTTTATTAAAAAGAAAAAGTTTTTTTTTTTATAATAAAAAAAGCCAAAAGCCAAAAGCTCATAGAAAGAGCTTTTATTTAAGTCGCATCAATTTTTTTTTTTGAAATGAAGAGCTTTTAAATAAATTTCAATCTAAAAATTTTATATAATAATTAAACAACTTTTAACTTTATTTTTTAGTTTTAGCTTAAAAAATAGTTTTTAATTTAAAACAAAAAAAGAAGAAAGGTTCCAAACAGGTTCTAAATAGAAGTATTTAACTTTTACACACTACCAGTACATCAAAGTAGAGGTGTTCATCAACCGATACAAACCGAATCAACGGTGACCGAACCGAAAAATCGAAAACACAAAAAAAATGCAAATTTTAATTGGATTAGATCGATTTTCGAATGGGTTGATGAAAATCGATCCAATCCAAACCGATCCAACATATTAATTCCTCTCTACCTACTTGGGCATTTCCCCCATCATAGCCTAAAAATTTTTAAGCAAAAAAAAACTTAGTCACATCTCATCAACAAAATTTCATCTGCGTAGAGTTTCATATTTCATTGTCCAAAAAAAAAAGTATATTATCGTCTATGGATGTTTTTGTATTTCAAAAAATTAAATTTATAAAATCAATATATACAAAAGATGTTATTTGCGCAATAATCATGAAACAAATTTTAAAATTTTTAAAAAATCGAAAAAACGATCAAATCCAAACCCAAAAAAATATGATTGGATCGGATCAGATTTAAAAAAAAATTCAAACCGAATGGATGATCACATGAACAAACCGAAGGGATTGGATCGGATGATTTTTGCTTCCAAAACCGATCCAATCCAGACCGCGAATACCCTTACTCCAAAGTTAAATTATTGTTTGTTCTAAAAAAAAAGTTAAATTATTGTTGTTTTTGGCATATATTAGTACACACGACAACACGGGAACGTGATTCCCGCATGACAAGGGCAGCCATATGGGTCCTCTTAGTCTTGACTATGCCTAAATAAGCCTAATAGAAGGCCATAATTTTAAAGACAGTTGCTGCATTCATATGTCAATACTTCAATTAGCACATTCCTTTGAAGCCTTTTTTTATTTTATTTTAATTTTTTTTCCTTCTTTTCTCCAACATCATTATAATCTACTCAAGTGAGCACACAGGAAACAGAAATTCCCTTGTGTATGCCATTTTGGGCTTGAACTCAATTTGCAAGCTTGAAGCCTACAAAGACACTAGATTCACATCCTCACTGTCCAAGCAGGGTTGTATAGTAAAATATCAGGCCCAATTGAAATAGTTGAAGAGAGTCAAATTAGCGAATTATGGTCCTGTAAAGATTCCTAATACAAGAAAGAGGAGATTCTACTTTAAGTATTATCATTGATGTGTGAGACAAATAACTCACATGCTACCCAGTATTGCTATAATCTGGTATTCTTCTGCTCGAATAATTTTGTAGACACTTGTCCTATATGTGTAAGATATTAGACACTTTGAGCCAATAAGTTGTTAAGAGAATGCCATATTTCCTCTTGTTCTTTTTTGAAATGGAAGTGCATTCAGAATGAAGGGAAAAATCTGTTCAGGTTCATAGGCAGTGAATAGAACTCTTCACTTCTGATATCCTGATTGAAGTTCCTGAATTTTCCCCACCAATGCCTCCCACTGTCTCGGCGAGTTGAGCTGTGCCCACGACTGAGAGTAAAATCCAACAAATAAGCAACTATAATTGCCACAGTTGCTGGGGACGAGAAAATCACTTGCACTATATTGTTGAACTGCAAAAAGAGAGCCAATACAGTAAGTAGTATACAATGAACCATAAATATTAAAAGTTGATTTTGCTGGTAAGATAATATAATATATACCGCAGTGGAGCCAGTATGAACGGGGCCCTGCCCGGATAGCAACAGATATTCATTGAAATATTGTGGAACAGATAGACCCATGAAGAGAGAAAAACCCAGGATGAACATTGACCTGAAGCTGTTTAAATTGCAGAACTGAAGAAAGCCAAGGCCTGCTGATGCTGTTCATCACAGAAGAAACATTAAAATCAAATCAGAATTCCTCGTTTTAAAAGAATGAAATTAGCATGATCCAAATGGATCATGGCAATTAATTACTCATTTGTTTTTGGTTTCTATATAATTAACTTCTTAGCTCTCACATAATGTCATACACATAAAGATGGTTGAATTATTCTCCCTAATTGACATAAAATTAGTTTCAATGTATCAGTAAGTCACACATACCCACATAAGCAAAGAGGACGCAGTACAGTGCTGCTATAATTGGTAATGGTATTGAAGCAAGAACTGCTCCAAATTTACCTGCCAGAGAAGCACAAACATGGATGTTGTCAATAAAAAAACATTAGGCGAACAAAATGACACATGTAAAGCGAAGTTAGTTTGAAGTTTAGTCACTTTTATGTCTGGATTGATGTACAAAGGGATAGAATGGAAGAGAATGATATTAATTTCTAATATTTAGATTGTTTAAAATAGGATGAAGTGGAATGGAAACGGATGGAGTCTATTCAGTCTCATTTCATTATCTCTATATTTTTTCCCGGAATTCGGGAGGTATGGGATGAAATTAACTTATGGAATGGAAACTTTCTCCCATTCCTCATAAAAGAACTAAACAATGATATGATAATCTTATTCCATTTTATCCCATTCCACTCCACTTGTGGTTAGATATCCAAACAAAGCCTTAGGAATGAACAAATAGTCCAAAACAAACATAAAGCATGACACATGTTTTGCTTTCACCAATGCATCTGAATGCTTAGAAATTTGCAGAATGGGATGCAACACCTAATATAGAGAAGAAAAACATGAACCCAGCTGATATTTGAACGACTCTCCGACTTCCAACTCGCGTTAAACCCAATAGTCCTGCATTTTCACTTAATGCCAAGGAAATAAAAGAAAAGACAATTAGTAGAAGGCAAGTAGGCAGCCACATTATTCATATATTGGGTCAATATACGACATCTTGAGTATCATTTTTCAGAAAAATAAAAATAAAAATGTCCTACTTCAACCATTGGCTAGCAAGATGTGATCCCAAAGCCTAGCACCTATAGGCAGTATAAATCAGTTGCTTCCTGCTAACCTCAAGATTTTCTTATATGATAACATGTTGATCTCAACAGAAAGCTAATTTATAAACTTCCAGATGAAGAAAGAAGCAAGGAAATTAACATTGATTGATACAATATTAGCTGTTCATCTTATGGTTAGAGACTTAAGAGTCAGAAAAGCTTAGACCCATAGCCTAAGAATTCTTTGACAGTAGCTAGTGAGATAATTTTTAAAGGTAACAAAATGTACACTGATGCAGTGGATCCAGTTACTGCGCCGAAAAAGCCATTCAGAAGAGTACCTATGCCCTGAAATCATCAAACTTTAACATATATATATATATATATATATATATATATATATATATATATATAATTTTGTAGAAGTACATGCACATGCAGATGTAATATCAAAGAATCACATAATACCAGCCAGCCAACACCACGGCTAAGGATAGAGGGTGGAATATGGGTTGCACTCCCAAATCTCGACGCTGCAATGAACGTCCCAGACGACTGTCCCCAGAAAATGAAAAGGACAAAACAGAATAAGGAACAAAAGGTAGTTCACAGAGAATTTTCGCTAGTCAAAATGTTTAGTCCACAAAGTCACACTGATCAAGGTACACCTTGTCATGTGCAAAATATTTCTAGCGTTAGCCTTTATGATCATTCTATCGAAAAATATACCAACCATCCCCACACATATAATAAAAAAAATAAAAATGGAAGCAAACCTCTACAATTGCAACAAGACAAGCAGCAATCATTGCAAAAGCATCACCAGCATTGAAAGAAGGGCGTCCCCACTGAAATGGATATGGAACTCTTATCCTGCACAAATGGAGTGAAATCTAATATGATCTCATTCACATGAATGAATTTACCAATAGCAAATTACCAGGTATTCATGTAGATAGTAAACATATGTATTTGTCAAAAGAGTAAGAGGTGTGCATAACATATATATTATGTCATAAAGTATTATTATAGATCACACTATATGATTCTTAAAAACCAAGCAAGCTACGTAGAACTGACCAAGGAGCAGCACTAATTAACCCAGATCGATCAGTGCGGCAGCTGATTTGAGTATTTGGTGATCTTTTATTGTAAGCACCGGCTGCTGTCAAAATCTCAGCAAATGCCCATACAATTCCGACTGAGACTAAGATTGCATATCGATCAGCTCCTCTTGATTTCAAAGTTTGGGGAATGTACTGCAAGGACATTGATTTAACATAACTATAAAGTGCAATTTAAAATGTTGAGCTATTTTGATATATAAGGTTCACAATAATAAGGGCGCTCACTTCTTACATTACCACTATCTCAACTTTCCAACTTGAATTTTATTCAAGAGTAAGCCAAGTCAGGTGAAATTATGTAGATAGAAATGTCAAATAGAAGCAAGTCCTATGTATATCTAAGTAACCCACCAGTAGTAAGCAGGAATTTGGATAATATATTAAAAGATTAGAGCTTCTATTTTCTGCCTTATTATAGTGTTGCTTTGCAATAATTCAAAAGGATTAAATTGAAATGGCTGAGATGAGGGAGAGAATGGTAAAGTAACATGCCTGGGACAGGATGACCAAAATAACCAATGCAGGGAGACCAATTTCAACACAATTTGCCAACTACAGGAATCAAAAGAAAACCAAAGATTATGTTTGTTAAACAACTGATAATAAGATGGACGAGATTTAGCACAAATATACATAACAAAAAGAGCAATGTATGTACTTTTGGAAACCCCAATACAAAAAGTCCTAGGCCAGTCAGAGTGACAAGGGGAACCGCACTGAGGGGGCTGAGATACCTGCGGCATCAATGGTTAATATATTTGAGTTATTCTGTACCAAAATATTACCGATATTTCATAGGAGCCAAATGAGCATGTGGTTGTTATTCTACCTGGCAAAAATCCTCCAGAATCCAAAAAAGCCAATAATGATTTGAACAAATGATGCAACAATAAGTGCTCCTTGTATGGCTCTCACGGATTGTTTAAATCTCTGAAAAATTCAATCAAGAATCAATTAACATCAATGACGCCCACTAACACCTTTCTCCAAAACGGGCTAATAAAAACTCATCCATTTCCAAGTAAACACGTTTGCTTCTTTCTCTTTTTCCCATGAAAAGAAACTTAGCATTTCAATACTACTCATTAGTTATATCCACACCAAGTAGTAATTAGAGAGAGCTATTGCACAAAAACATGAACCCACTAACCTGATGTGGATCTAGAAATATAGTCATCCTGGTAGAAAAAGCAACGGAAATAGCAGGAATGAGGAAAGCATAGGATGCCCCCATAACCACTGGAAGCCGTGTTCCAAACCACGTCTGCAACAATGTGTTTATGGCAGCAACAAAAAGTAAAGTCTGTATCATTTCAGCCTTCTCCACCTATATATTTTTTTGTACCAAAAGAAGAAGAAATTTGGTTCAAACAAAATAAATAATTAAAGAAACACATGAAAATGTTTTAAAAACTCCAAGACTTTTTATTATTACATTGCCACCACCCATCAAAGGGACAAGTATGGTGGAAACAATGACGATGGTCCCAAGCATAACCAGGTAGTGCTGAAACCCAAGTAAAATCCCTTCATCTGCAATCAAACCATTCAACGCAAGGTAAAAACTTTAGCCTTAACAAAAAAAGGGTATTAACTATAAATGTTAAGAGAGGAAAAGAAAAGGGGTTGGCATGTACGCCATGGGGGAGAGCTGTTAACACAGTAATCAACATCGGGAAGTTGATCCTTCACTGGATGAGGATGGAACTCATCAACCTTTGTCATTCTTTCTCTCTCTCTTGTTCGCTCACTCTGTCTCTGTTTTCTCTGTTTGTGTTTCTTATAGTGCAAAGAATAAAGAAAACAGGTGAGTACTTTTGTCTGATACGAAACGCTGAGAGAGAGAATGGGAATGATGAGTGAGAGTGAAGAGGAGTAGGCAGCGACGTTGTGACTCTTGCTTGCGAGGTGCACTTTTCAACAAAGAGTGTTATGGTTATGAGGTCACAGTAATTGGTTTGTTGTGGTTGGTAACGGTAGCTTAGCTTACTACTGCTCCTACAACGTTATGGTTTTGCATCTTTTTGCTTTGTTTATGGTTGCTACATAATTTGTACTACCATATTCCTAGGGGTCAAATGTTGGAATACCAAACATGGATTATTGATATTCTAGTTTCAATTGTTCACCACCTTTTGCATGATGTCGGAATTTCAAAATCTTTCGTTAGAGGTTGTAATCTCTTCTTAATCAAGGCATTGCGTTTCCCTTGGATAAAGCTATACCACTTCAACTTAATGAAAAAAAAGGGGGTTCTACTGCCTTTTTGTTGAAAGAAATATGTTCTAAAATTCCTTCTTCCAAGTTCATTTATTTTGACAATGAAAATATTATATAAAATATAAGTTTGGTATTTGTCATTTTAAACTATATAAGTTATGTCATTTTAAGAGAGAGATAGACACAAGGAACGAAAATCATAGAGGAGAGAGTTGATGGTTTTTTTTAATTTAAATCTTAAATAAAAAAATGAGATTTTGTGTCTATATCTCTCTTAAAATGACATAACGTTATGTCATTTAAAATGACAAACACTTTTCTCATAAAATATTTACATTTTTATAATTTATTTTAAAAAATAGTTTTTATATAACACTTTGGCATTTTCATTAAAGCTTTCCTTTAAAAGAAGAAATTGCAAATCTTAAGACATATATTCCTTGTCTATAACTCTCCTCTAGTTTTTCAACTTTAGCTTAAAAACACGAATAGCCATATATGTGGATTAGTCGCAACGTATTAAGTTGACAGTTTTCTCTTCTATTGTAATATAAGGAGATAAAAAAAAAATTCATGTTAGAAGAGACCGGGTGCACCCAAAAAAAATAAAAGAAAAAGAAAGAGATGGGATTTTACGATTAATAGGAGTTAGGACAGTTCAGTATTGTATATTCAACTATATTGCCCATAGACAATAACTTCTAAATTTGCTTTCGAATAAAAAAATATTCCTAAGCCTTTTTTTAATTAGTAATGCCTCTATTGTATGGGTGTTGAATCAAAAATACCTTTTTAAAGACAAAATATACCCCTAGATTTCATCTTCATCTATATTAGATTTTAGAGATTGCTTCTTCTTATATCATTGGAGACAGGACTATCTCCTATAAAAACATCTTCAAGTGGATCCTACCCTATAACAAAAAAAAAATTAAAAAAATTAATGGCTCAAATTTCGAAGGGTCTATGACATGAGGTAAGCTTTCTCCAATGACATAACAAAAACATTACCCTAGATTTTAACATGGAGATAGTGGTATTTTTGACCATATAATAAATGAACCTATTTTGAAGGAAGGGAAGTGGATATGAAATTTGAGACAACTGAATGAGCGAGAAAATAACTGAGGATAAGAGTGTAAACTAATAAAGGAAATGGGGGTATTTATAAGAAAGGGAGTGACATTGATAAAAATGAAGCGTCTTTTGTGGGATTAAGTCACATAAACAATCTTGTGTTCATTTTTTTATTAAAGTAAAGGCAACAGAGAAGATAGCGCTTGTGTATGATCCCATGTTAATAAATAAAATAAGCTGACCATGAAATGACAATATTTTATTTTTTTTGTGTATGTTAGCACTGGCACCCAATCTATTTGAGGTTATATATATTTTGTAAGCGAAAAATATTTCTTTTCAGGAAATAATTTTATTTCCTATAACCTTAAAACAATGTTATTTTGAGATTTAAAATAAAAAATAATAGGTATTTTAATAAAAAAATAAAATTTTTAAAATACCTTTTATTTTTTATTTTGAATCCCGAAATGACAATTTTACCTCCTGTTACAGAAGAAGCGTGTTAATCTCATTTTATAATGGAAAAATTATTTCTTTAGGTCACTTGGGATAAAGTATTTCTCCAGTCATTGGAGATAAAGTATTTCTCCAGTCACTCGAGATAAAGTTATCTCCGGTGATTACAAAATGGCGTCGTTTTAGGTTATAAGATTAAAAAATTATAATAATAAAAATTAATATAACTCTATAATATATTAGAAGTACAAAAATACTTTGATTTCCGCTCAAAAATGACGTTGTTTTGAGTTCACCGGAGATAATTTATCTCCATTGACCGGAAAAATATTATACTTTTTTGATATAAAGAAATGAATAATTAAAATATAAAATAAATATATAATGTATTTTTTTTTTACAAAAAAGACCCGCTAAGCATTTCTCGTTTGGAGCTTATTTGATACCTTTTTTTTAAAGATAAAAGCTACTTTTAAGTTAAAATTAAAAAAAAAGCTTAAAAAATAAAATTAAAAGTTGTTTAGTAATTATATGAAGTTGTTCTGATAGTTTGAAGTAGTAAAAATAAAATAATTTATTATTAGGGTGAATTATTAGAGTGAAAGAAAATTTATAAATATAAGTTTAGAATAAAAGGTAAAATTATAAAATAATTATGAGGAGTTAAAAAAATTGAAATACATCTTCAAAAAAAAAATTCTACGAAGCTTTTAGCTTTTTTTTTCGTTATAATTTTTTTTTATATAATAAGAATTTTTTTATAAAAACATATTTAACTAAAGTTTTTATTTTTAAGGAGAGGAGAAGTTAAAAATAAAAATACCAAACAAACACTTAGTCTAATTCAGAGAAGTAACTTAAAAAAAAAAAACCTTATGTAACTATTTTCTGAAAACCATTTTTCTTTCGTTATAAACTCATATTCTCCAACCTCGCAACTCGCAAGTCGCAGCTCTCACAATCAAAGCATTCTCATCAACACACATGAACAGGAACGAGGCTCATTGTTTCCATTTTCCAATTTCATTTTGGCATCAGTGCTTTATTGTCTGTTATCCGCACCGCTGGTCCCCACTTCTTCATTGCACACACTGACGTTATGGCATGCACGATTCTCCACCGTTTCACAACACAAATGCTTTTTCCCTTAACAACAAATAATCTGGATCACTCACAGTCACAGATGTTAATTAATTCTTAAGAATACCAACCAATTAGAGAACATTCATTTGACTCTAAAAAATAATAATTGAACGAAGAGTTATTGATTTAATAACATTAAATTTCATAACCAATTAGAGAACATTCATTTGACTCTAAAAAAAATAATTGAACGAAGAGTTATTGATCTAATAACATTAAATTTGGTTATAAAAAAATAACATTAAATTTCATAAGGATAGGTTATTTGCAGACCCCTTTCTATTAAAAATAACACTAAATAACATTAAAAATAACATTAAAAAAATACTATTAGTTTACCTACCTTTGCATACCCCTCTCAACTCCATTAGATTATAATCTTGTTTTATCCCCTCCCCCCCTCTCCCCCCCTCTCTCTCTCTCTCTCTCTCTCTCTCTCTCTCTCTCTCTCTCTCTCTCTCTCTCTGAAGAGCGATGGAGAAAATCACTTACTGGGAGCTTGCTTGGATAGATGATTTGTCAGAATCAATTACATTATCACTACTGATCATAGCATCAGACAATTCCGCAACTTTCAAAATGTAAAGCAAATTAAATAAAGATGAGAAATGTTGATTGATTTGTCTACACTACAATGAGTTGCAGACACAAATTCATTCATCGATTTTTTTGTTTTGTTGATTCAATTTCTACAATTCTACAATACAATGAGATCTGGGCATCAACTACATTTATGATCATAGCATTGATTTTTATTTTTGTGTGAATAATTTAAAAAATGACCTTTCTTGTCTTCCAACTAGAGGATGAATTGAAATTCACAACAAGGTTTTACATTTGTTCTAGAACTTCCCAAATAAACCTTTGGAAGAGAGAGAAAGGGTGGGAGGCAATGAGAAAAAATGGGTTAAAGGATTTATTTTATCACATAAATCTCCACCGTTAAATGAAATTATAATCTAACATTGTTGAAAGAGGTAGACAAAGGTAGGTAAACTAATAATAGGCAGAATAACCTATCACAATTTCATAATTTGACATGGTTAAAGATTTGTGAGTTTTCTCGTAATTCCAAAAAAAGTTAAAGAGACTTAAATTCGAGATTAGATTAGTCATGTTTGTTAGAATTTTATCTAAAAATAATAATTTAGTAGCGAGAGATTTAAATAACTTGCATCAAGTTATAAATTTAAATCCCAGTACTATTATCTATAGAAAAAATTTGTAAAAAAAATATATGTTAGAAAGTAAAATGCAAAATTATAACCCATTGATTAAAATGTGTATAGCAAACTGAAATATTAAAATCAATTCTATTAATTCAGTGTATACCATACTTTTTGTAACTTTCTAATTTGACTATCGTTGACATAGTAAATATCTCAATAATGGTTTACCAAGCAAATATATATATATATATATATATATATATATATATATATATATAGTTGAGATATATACAATCGTTAATGCGGTCACACCCAACCGCTTAAGTTTTTGGGTTGAAGTAATTCCACTTTCTTTCTAGTGAATATTTTTTTCGCACAGGTAGGTGAGCCTGTGCATCGTCCACCCTTCAAGACCAATGGGCTCTCGTGTGAGGGAGCGTGTTGAGATATATAAAATCATTAATGTAGTCTCACCCAACAGCTTAAGCTTTTGGGTTGATTGCTGGAAAGAATATCTTTAGGATATCTTTATTATTTATAAAGATCTATTTCCTTATTTTATTAGGATTCAGGTTAGGTATGGGCTAAGCCCATTAGTATTTCTTTATATATTGTACTCCCCTGAATCAATTCAATATACAGATTTATTACAATATTTCTCTCGTCTCTT